TGACCAATCTGGGGTCTGCCTCCAGTTTCCCCAAATAATACAACCGTAACCCCCAGATGGAGGGAGAAGCTGCCTGACTGTGGGGCTGGGTAGTCCTCTTGCAGACCCCGAGTCCCCGTCCTCCCTGCCCTTGTGCTGGGTAGTCCTTGTGCAGACCCCCAGTCCCCGGGCGACTCCCCGTCCTCCCTGCCCTTGTGCTGGGTAGTCCTTGTGCAGACCCCCAGTCCCCGGGCGACTCCCCGTCCTCCCTGCCCTTGTGCTGGGTAGTCCTTGTGCAGACCCCCAGTCCCCGGGCGACTCCCCGTCCTCCCTGCCCTTGTGCTGGGTAGTCCTTGTGCAGACCCCCAGTCCCCGGGCGACTCCCCGTCCTCCCTGCCCTTGTGCTGGGTAGTCCTTGTGCAGACCCCCAGTCCCCGGGCGACTCCCCGTCCTCCCTGCCCTTGTGCTGGGTAGTCCTTGTGCAGACCCCCAGTCCCCGGGCGACTCCCCGTCCTCCCTGCCCTTGTATTCCCTTCTCTCCTCCCTCCTACCCTGGGGCTGGCACAAAGCAAGGTTGACGGCATTCTGAGCTGAAGAGGGTGTTGGCCGCGCATCCTCCTAGGCTGCTGCTAGGGAGGAAGGGGTCCTTTCAAAGAGAGGAGTGGACACAGTGAAAGTGGAGCCCAGCCGCTTCAGGAGACCCTCAGGAATCCTGATGAGTGGGTGTGAGCTGAGGGGTGAGGGTGGGTGGGCAGACTAGGCCAGTGGGTCGGCATCAGCCTGAGAGTCTCGTGCAGAACTAAGGAAACCGCCAGCGCAATGAATGGCAACCTCCAGCCTGGGAGTAAGACATGCCAACCACATAGCTGATGAGGGGCTGTTGCTGTTCAGTCGCTCAGTCGTGTCCGTCTCTGCGACCCCATGGACGGCAGCACGCCAGACCTCCCTGTCCTTTCCCATCTCTCGGAGCTTGCTCAGACTCATGTCCACAGAGTCAGTGATGCCATCCAACCATCTCATTCTCTATCACCCCCTTCTATTCCTACTCTCAATCTTTCCTAGCATCAGGGTCTTTTCCAGTGAGTCAGCTCTTTCCATCATGTGGCCTCTCCAAAGTCCACAAGGAACCCGTACAACTCAATAACAACAGATAAACAACAAGGCTGAAGCAGAGACACAGGACTTGAATAGACATTTTTCTAAAGAAGGGATAGAGATGGCCAACAAATGCATAAAAAGATGCTCAACATCGCTAAACATCAGGGAAATGCAAATCCAAACCACAATGAGACATCACCTTGCACCTGCCAGAATGGCTATTATCAAAAAAAGCAAAAGCTTGTGAATGTTTGCAAGGATGTCAGGAAAAGGGAACCCTTGTACACTGTTGAAACATAAGCTGGTGCAGCCGTAATGGAAAACAGCATGGAGGTTCCTCAAAAAATTAAAAATGGAACTGCCTTTCAATTCAGCAAATCCCACTTGTGGGTATTTATCCAGACGATTTAAAATCAGAATCTCAACGAGACACTTGCATCTTCGGGTTCACTGCAGCATCGTTCGTGATGGCCAAGACATGAGAACAAACTAAATGTCCTTCTCTGGGTGAGTGGATAAAGATGATGTGGTAAATGTCACAATACAACACTAGTGAAGTCACTCAGTTGTGTCCGGCTGAGCGACCCATGGACTGCAGCCTACCAGGCTCCTCCGTCCATGGGATTTCCCAGGCAAGAGTATTGGAATGGGTTGCCATCGCCTTCTCCAAACAATACAATACTAGCCAGCCTCAAAAAAGAAAGATGTCATTTGCAATGACATGGACAGAGCTGTAGGACATTATGCTAAAAAAAAAAAAAAAAAAGACCAGATCTAGTCTCAGAAGGACAGGTATTGCATGATCTCACTTAGATGTGGAATCTAAAACTGTCAAACTGAGGACCTCCTTAGCCATCCAGTGGTTAAGACTCCACGCTTCCAACACAGGCGACACAGGTTCGAACCCTGGTCAGGGAACTGAGATACGTGTGGCGAGGCCAATGAGTAAAACAAAACAGTCAGACTCAGAGAAGCAGAGAGTGGCGTGGCGAGTGCCCGGGGCTGGGGGCTGGGCCCATTGGAGGGGTGTTTGTCGATGCTTCCCAGTTTCAGTTACAGAAGAAGGATAGGTTGTGGAGACCCAAGGCATGGCCATGTGACTCCAGTTAACAGTGTGATCTGTATACTTGAAATTCTCAGGGAGACTATTAGATCCCAACACGACAGTTCCCACGACTCAGCGACTATGGAAGATGATGGGTGGGTGGATTTTTCATGACATGGAGGGATGTAAAACACCCATGAGGCCTTGCAGCTGGCTCTTCAGCCCAGCCTGCTGTTTTTACGTTGGGAAGTGTTTGCAGGGGCCCTGAGATGCAGTCAGACCAGCGAAGGCGCTAAGGTAACGCTGGGCAAAGGGACTACAAATATCCAACGTGCCAATGATACACAAAGGTGTGTGTGTTCCGTGGCTAATAGGTTCCTGAAGATTTCAGAAGATCATATGCATCCTGAAGGAAGAGGAAAGCATCTAAACCGTTGCTGCTGGCAAGCCCTGTGTCTTCCTGAGCTACATGTCGAAGTCGCTGACCCTAAAAAGGAATTCATTTTCAGAAATTATTTTTAAAAGCCACAAGCTCTTCCAGGAGTCTCAAAACATAAATCATGTCTTTCACGAAAACCCATAAAATATACTCGGCCTGTGCAATGAAATGAAGCCAGGAGAGACCTAGCGTTTACAGTTTCTTGGTCTGTGCCGGGCCCAGGAGGCCACCACTGGGGGTCTCTGCCTCTGGACAAGCAATTCATAAACCAAAACAAGAACCGCTTGGAGCTTTTCGCTCTAGAAATTGCCATCCGGACACATTTTGACAAGTCCCTGGTCTCCGGAATGGGAACATGCCTCCTGCTAAAGTGATTTTAAACTCATTTCTTTCTTGGACGCTGCTTGGAATTTTTTCGACCTATCTTAGAACAACTTGGACAGGATTTTGTCACCGAAGCAGCACATTTTGGAGATTTTTTTTCATAATATCTTGATGAGGAGCAGCCCAGCCTCGTGTGGGCGCTGCTCTCACATCCCCAGCGAGAGGCACGTTGCAGCCAATAAATCAGGCACGTGGCGACGGTCGGTGTGTACAATAGCCGTCTGTCTGTTGTACCTGACAGGGATCTAAGCCCGAGCTTGTGAAATCCTGGAACCTTCCCAAGGAATTCAGAGCCTTAAAACACAAGTTGGGGGGAGAAAAAACCTTCAAGATGAAAATACATTTTTAACTCTCTTTGACTTGAAGTATGAATATCAGATGACCTGGTCTCTGCTGTGAGGTTAAATACATTGGAAGGGTATTTTGAAATGAAAATAAAAAGTCTAGAATTTCAAAATCCAAAAGCAGAGGCTGTCCCACTGAGGCTGCCGAAATGGCTCAGTTAGTTGGAATACGTGATGGATAGTTCACACATTGGGCAACTCAGACTGGCTTGCTCCTTGCGTCAGACAGTCTTAGGGTAATAACTGAGTAACCGGCAGAAGTCAGCTGGGGCCTCCTGGGGACCTTGGTGCTGTGACAGCAGGCTGAACAAACCCTAGCAAGAGGGTCTGGCCCCGAGCATCGAGGTGGTCATTTCCCAGAGATTCTGGGCAGACCATTAAAAAAAAAATGTTGTGTATTCATGCACATATTTGCTTTTCTGGCTGTTCGGGGCCTTCACCGTGTGAGCGGGCCTGTCATCGCGGTGGCTCGCCTCTTGGGGCACAGGCTCTTGGGCTCGGTGGCTGTGTCGCTCGGCCTCAGGTGCCCCGAGGCACACGGAATCTTCTCGGCCCAGGGATCGAACCTGTGTCCCCTCCCTTGGCAGGTGGACTCCCAACCACTGGACCACCAGGGGAGTCCTGGCCAGAGCTTCTTGATTCTATTAAAGTTTGCTGTTACGAAGCAAGCAAGGCTTATGTTTCCCATCGTAGGAGGTGACCATGTCACACTGCATTCCTTTCCGTGGTGGCCATGACGGAAGACCACAGACTCAGATGCTTATAACAGCTGTGTGTTCTGGGTCCTTCTGTGACTTAGGGGAGCATCTGTCTTCTCATCTTTCTGGCTTCTGGAGACAGTCACGCCAGACTCATGGCTCCTCCCAGCCATCAATTCACTCCCCCTCTGCCTCCCCAGCACATCTCCTCCTGGCTCTCTCTTGTTGAGGACCTACCCAGATAATACAGGACAATCTGTCAAGTCTGTATCCTTTAACATCATCATGCCTGCAGAAGGGCCCTGTGCCCAGCAAGGTGAGGTGCCCAGAGGCTCCAGAGATCATACTGTGGACATCTCCACGGGGTCTTGAGCCCACCAGCTATGAGTGTGTTTCTTATTTAAAATACTCTTGCCTGGAGAGTTCCATGGACAGAGGAGCCTGGCAGGCTGCAGTCCATGGGATCGTGAGGAGTCAGACACGACTCAGCTACTAACTTTTCCCTTTCACACTGAAGGAGGAGAAGCTTTTTTGAGAGGACCAGAGGCAGCATTCAGGGTTATCAGAGCAGCAGAGCTACCTCGTGACACCTGGGCCGGGGGCGGGGGGCAGCTTCTCGCCTTGGCGGGGAGCCAGAGAGTAACCCCGGCCGCGACTCCCAGCGGCCGCGTCACAGCGGCCTTTGTCCACAGAACCCGAAGGGTCTCTGAGACCAGGAACGGTGCCACTCAGCTGAGTTCCCCGTGCAGAGCACTTTTTGAACGCCTGCTGTGAGCTGTGACCGAGGGACGGCCTGTCCCGAGGATGTCGTTGTCTAGCTCAAGGACACACAAGCACCGAGAAAGCCCAGGCTAGGAGGGGAGCTGGGGCAGGGCCGCGCGAGGGCCCTGGGGCAGCGAGCGGGGGCCTCGGGAGCAGGGACAGAAGAGACTGGCCCTCACCCGCCGCTCACCCTGCCTGTCACAGCCTCGCAGTGCCATCCACCCCCTGCCGTCTGTCTGCCTCCGCTCTAGGCTCCAGACCTGGCTGCCCACCCACCGGCCCCACGGGTGCCTTTCTGCCCCCGAACCCGTGGACGGTCCAGGGCACCCTCGGGACACCGTCGTCTCGGCCTCAGCCAGGGGCTGGCTCCCCTGGACTCCGCTCTCCTGTCCCTCCCCTTCCTGTCCGCATGCCGGCCACCCGCCAGTCCCACCCAGGTCACCGCCCCCGGCCGCTGGCCGCCCTCGGCCTCTCACAGGCTGTTCTCGCCTCTCCGGGTGAGCGGTCAGCATCCCCACATTACATGTCTCCCTAAGCAGGTCTGGAGGAGCGTCGGGCACTGAGCTCTCGGGCAGCACCTCCGTGTTCCCCGTTGTTATCCAAAGCCTGTCGGCACCTGGGTGTCCGCTGTCCTGTCGCCCACCTGTGTGGGGTGCCCTGCACTCCTGGTCTCGGGAGGGGGGGCTTGTCAGCCCTGGACCCAGCCCCTCCTTCCAGCTGGCCTCCCCCGAGAAATGGCCAGCGCCAGGGCCCATGGATGCCACTCCCTGCTGCTCCTGTTCTCCTCCCACCAGAGGAGGAAGGGTCACCTGCACCCAGAGATGCCCGCCCGGCTAACGGCAGCCCTGGGGGGCCAGTCGCCGAGGTTCCCACCCGGCTGGGGGGCCAGTCCCCGAGGTGCCCGCCTGGCTTGGGGGCCAGTCTCCGAGGTGCCTGCCCGGCTAATGGCAAGCCTGCGGGGCCAGTTGCCAAGGTGCCTGCCTGGTTGGGGGGCCAGTTGCCGAGGGGCCTGCCAGGCTGGTGGTCGCCCTGGGGTGTGCCAGTCCCTCGGCCCTGAGTTCCTCCTCCGACAGACCCACCTGGCCCGTGGGAAGCCCATCTTTCCTCCTCTCCCAACAGCCTCCCCAGGTCTGTGTCAAAACTGATGAATCACAAAGCCTACCACCTGAAACAGTCAGCAAACCTGCCAAGCACCATATAAAAACTTCTACTTTAGAATAAATTTTCGTGGAGCGGCCACGAGGGAAAAACCAGCCTCTGCCCTGGTGGGAATGCGGATGGCTGGTCCATGTTGAACCTGCCAGCCGTATGTCTGGCTCTGGTCAGGTCCGATCCAGGTTCTGGAGATGTAATTCATGGTGAGTTCCTAGCCTGTCTGGAGCGCAGTGTCTGACGACCCTCTGTCAGTGTGGTTTGGGGCACACACGCAGCCCTCCCTGTGTGGGATAAATCAAGATCCTTAATGAACAGGATAGGTGTGACTGCCAAGGCAGTGAATCAGCTTGTGTGTTTCCTGCGGGATCACAAGGCACCGTAGTTACAATTAATGGCTTTAATTTTAAATGCAAGGGCCTCCATACCAAAGCCCTAAAGAAGTCCATTTTGGCATTCTTATGACTCTTTAATTGTAATTGATGTACCTGGGAAAGATGTCAGCGGCCCGGGTTCCCACACAGGTGTGAGGCTCCCCTGACGCCCCCCGCCCCCAGCCTCGCTGGTGATCACCGCTTATCAGCAACATGGTTTTGATGAAACCTAAATTTATTAGGGTTATTAAAAGTCATTAATTATTTGGCACCATCTAGATTTCATTTGCTTCATCCTTAATGAAAATTGACATCTTTACATTTTTGGGTGTAGAAACTGGGACTGCATTTTAAATGCTTCCGGTACTGTACCCACGGCCGAGCCTCCCCTGTCTCTCCCCGCTTCTCGTCCCCAACCTCTGCTCCCCGCTTCCCCCTCGCCCCCCAGTATTGATCTGTAGCGCTTTTCCTTTCAAACAAATGGGTCATTTGTCTTCCCCTGGGCTCCTTTTCACAGGGCCTTCCTTGGAAACCGCCCCCAAAGCCAAGGACACTGATTTCAGTTCACAAGTGGGCTACGGGGGCGTGAATCCAATCACCCCGCCTGGGGAGGGGCCCTGGGTCTGGGGAGCAGCCCTCGACTGGGGAGAAACCCTCCGTCTGAAAAGGAGCCGCGCCTCTCCGCCTGACACTCCCTCTCCTGCCCATGTAATGGATCTGGGTGTGAAACAGCTTAGCTGGTGTCTGTGGAAGAAAAGGCAGCCATCTGTGGGGTCATGTCTCACACTGGAGGCCGGGCCAGCCATCTGTCCCCGCTCCCGGGGGCTCCCGACCGCGAGTGCTGTGCCCCGGACAAGTGGCTGTGGCTGGGAACCCGAGGGTGCAGGCCGAGCCTCCGAGCTAAGGTCTCCTGGCTTTTCTCCAAAGCCAGCAGGGCCGCCCCGCTGGACGGTGCTGGTGTCCAGGCTGTGACCTGCTGGAGGCAGGCGCTGCGGGGCCACTCAGGGCGTCACAGAGAGCAGGCGCCCCCACTCTGAGAAGCCGGATCCCAGAGGGAGGAGCGAGCAAGGGAAACAGAAATCTTGGCAGAGGTCCATCCGTGCACATTCATCTTTTTGCTCTGGAACTGGAAAGCCACCTGCTGGAAGGGCAGATGTAGTCAACACCATTTACTGTTTATTATCTCCTCTGCATGTAGGTAGGCAGAGTCAAGAGAGAGGGTGAAAGAATACTTTCAAAGAAAATGAAACTTCTCTGATTGTCTTCGCAGAAAAGGAGGAAGGAGTTATTTGCATCCTTCAGACAGAAGATGCCATGACTCAGGGAGAAGAGTTCGCACCTGGACCCCCGAGGTCCTCCGCGGTGCCTGCTGAGCCCAGGCCCAGGGGCCACCTCTCTGTCCCCTCCTTCCCCTCCCTCTGTCCCCGGCCACACAAAGCCACCTGGAGGTCTGTGCTGCCCTTGGTTAGAGGGACAGGCCTGGAATCCAGGCAGGAGTCTCTCCGAGGTCTTATTTAAGGCACGGATGGGGTCACGCTGGATTCCACAGGACATGAGACTCCCCGACCCTGGCACTAGAGCAGTGGTCACCGGCCCCCGGGGGGGGACCCCGGTGCTCCTGGATGCTGGGCAGCCTCTCGGGTCGGGGGGCAGCTGGAGTGTTGCATGGGAACCGGACACCTGTGAACACCCTGCGCAGGGCCCGCTCTCCTCTCCTTCCCACCACTTTCCAGCACATAAGCGGCAGGAAACAAAGCCCAGGGAAGCCAGACTTGCAGGGGGTGGGGAGCATGGGCCCCATCAGTGTCCCCGGCCAGGCACAGCCACCCACATCTCCCCTCCCTCCCCTTCCCGGGGCGGCTTCTGTGACTCCACACTCCTCCGCACTCAGGCTCCGCCGTTGGCCTTGCTGAGGTTTTTTGTACTTTGCATTTTGCTCCTGACACTGCAGGTCAGGAGCCCACGCATGCGTGTGCACTCTGAGACTGGTAGGGTTGTCTCAGACGGGGTGCAGCTGTGTCCCCCCACTCTCTCAGCCGGGCTGCCGGCGTCCCCCCACCCCGGGGCTGGGTCTGGAGGGGACGCAACAAGGCTGGTCTCACAGGCTCCGTCCGGGAGGAGACCGGGCGGCAGAGAGACCACGACCTGGCTTTTCCTGTCTGTAACGGGCTGGGGGGCACCGAGGCCTGAGCTCTGCTTCCCCCCGACAGGCTGACTCACAGCCTGGACTCTGGGCCCCCTTGACCCGCCCTCTATAGGGTCCGAAGATGGAGAAGCAACAGTAAGTTCCCCCGAAGGCCGGCGCAGTGCCAGCTACCAAACCAGGGGCCCGAAGAGAAACAGTGCAGGCGATCCAGACGGAGGAGCTGGCCTCCGGCCACAGACGCCTGTGCTCTGAAGTGTCCGGGGTCTGCTCCAGCCAGGCCCCACCTCCATCTTCTCACCCGGTGAGGTGAGCACAGAGCTGCACCCATTACTACCTCAGCAAGGAGAGCAATTTAAAGACCAGGCCCCTGAGCATTAAAAGACGCCTACTCCTTGGCAGGAAAGTTAGGACCAACCTAGACAGCATATTAAAAAGCAGAGACATTGCTTTGCAACAAAGGTCCATCTAGTCAAGGCTATGGTTTTTCCAGTGGTCATGTATGGATGTGAGAGTTGGACTAAAAAGAAAGCTGAGCGCCGAAGAATTGATGCTTTTGAGTTGTGGTGTTGGAGAAGACTCTTGAGAGTTCCTTGGACTGCAAGGAGATCCAACCTGTCCATCCTAAAGGAGATCAGTACTGGGTGTTCATTGGAAGGACTGATTCTGAAGTTGAAACTCCAATACTTTGGCCACCTGATGTGGAGAGTTGACTCATTTGAAAAGACCCTGATGCTGAGAAAGATTGAGGGCAGGAGGAGAAGGGGATGACAGAGGATGAGATGGCTGGATGGCATCACCGACTCAATGGACATGGGTTTGGGTGGACCCTGAGAGTTGGTGATGGATAGGGAGGCCTGGCGTGCTGCGGTTCATGGTGTCGCAAAGAGTCAGACACGACTGAGCGACTGAACTGAATTGAACTGAACTGAACCTGGGCATTACCAGGAATAGACATGCTTCTTCTTTCTAATCAGTGTAAAGATAAGCAGCCTCTCACATACCAAGGGAAGAATCGAACTGAAAGTTCCAGAGTGTTCTGGGACATTCTTCAGTCTTGTTTCACACTGGACACAGAAGAACATCTCTGGGAGGGGGAGAGCCCAGGAGAGGACTTAACCCATGACAATTAGGATCCAAACACTGCCCCCCATGGTCTCTGACACCAGCCAACACTCAACCCCTGGGAGTGATGGGGAGAAACAACCCCACTTCCCTTCCTCACCACACCCAGGAGCCAATCACTCACGGTCATTGGAACAGGCTCCCAGAACGCAGGGGATTAGCAAGCTCTGTCCTTGTGAAGCTACAGTCTCTGGGCGATTATGAGAATCCAGAGTGATTTCCTTATCTGTGGCTACAGCTCAGTTCTCCGGTCTCTTCAACTCCATAAGTTTAGAAAGTATTTTACATACTTAGCAAGACCTTTCTCCCTGCAATTTAAGGTCCCTCTGGGAATCTGAAAAAAGAAGGAAAAGGCTAGAGCAATTTGCAAGTGCCGTTTCTCCACTTATTCTCAAATATGTATATGTTTAAGCTACAGCAGCTTAAAAGATGCAAGAAAATTGGAATATAAATTTAAGTGAATTTCTGGTGTGCTCTAGAACCCGTGCTCCGCAACAAGACAAGCACCGCAATGAGGAGCCTGTGCGCCTCAACTAAAAGTAGTCCCCACTCACAGCAGCAGCCAAAAAGAAGTGAATAAATAAAATTTTAAAAGCCCCATAGGTTTCCACCTTAAAAAAAATTTTTTTTAGGTAACTTCCAGCTCCAAAATTTATTACAGACAGATAGTTGGTTAAATCCAGGCCACAGATGTGTTCTATTCAATCTCTAGTGTTTTATCACTCTCTTTCTTGAACGCTGAGAGGCCACTGTAGGGTTATTATTTGTCCTCATTTCGATACTGTTGTCTCAGGGGACAGGGTGGCCGAGGAGAGGGGGAGGGGTGGGAAACAGCTGGTTAATGGGGCAGTCAGAACGCATGACACTGAGAAAGTTTGCCATCCTGTACAGGGTCAGTGTGTGGAGTCCCAAAACAGTCATAGCGAATATCTCTGACCACGGACATCAAAACTAATAAAAATAATGGACAGCTTCAAACACTGTGGGAATCACCAAAATAGGACAGAGACATGAAGTGGGCAAAATGTGGAAAAATGTGTCTGCAGACTTGCTGCACTCGGGGTTGCCACAAACCTTCAGTCTGTACAAAACGCAGTATCTGTGAAGCACAGTAAAGCAAAGTGCGACAAAAGGAGGTGTGCCTGCCTGTGTCGATGTGGGTATAGGTGCGCGTATGTAGGCGTGTGTATACACACTTTTAGCGGAAACATTTGAAAGCAAGTAGCAAACGTGAAAAAGTTGGCTTAAAACTCACCATTCAGAAAACTAAGATCATAGCATCCGGTCCCATCACTTCATGGCAAATAGATGGCTGGAAACAGTGATAGACTTTATTTTCTTGGGCTCCAAAATCACTGCAGATGGTGACTGCAGCCATGAAATTAAAAGACGCTTACTCGTTGGAAATAAAGTTATGACAAACCTTGACAGCATATTAAAAAGCAGAGACATTACTTTGCCAACAAAGGTCCGTCAAGCTATGGATTTTCCATTAGTCATGTATGGATGTGAGAGTTGGACTATAAAGAAAGCTGAGCACTGAAGACTTGATGCTTTTGAACTGTGGTGATGGAGAAGACTCTTGAGAGTCCCGTGGACTGCAAGGAGATTCAACCAGTCCATCCTAAAGGAGATCAGTCCTGGGTGTTCATTGGTAGGATTGATGCAGAAGCTGAAGCTCCACTAGTTTGGCCACCTGATGGGAAGAGCTGACTCATTGGTAAAGACCCTGATGCTGGGAAAGATTGAAGGCTGGAGGAGAAGGGGATGACAGAGGATGAGATGGTTAGATGGCTTCACTGACTCAATGGACATGAGTTTGGGTAAACTCCAGGAGTTGGTGAAGGACAGAGAGGCCTGGCGTGCTGCAGTCCTTGGGGTCACAAAGAGTCGGACACGACTGAGTGACTGAACTGAACTGAGCAAGCATGACTTTTCACTCCTAAATACTCCATCTCCTAAAGCAACTTATCCTTAAAGCAACTTATCCTAAAGCAACCATACTATCCTTATCATACCAAAGAGAGCAGACAACTCGGCCACATCATGTAATGTTCACATTTCCCCAGTGGCCCCCTGTTGTTGTTATTTAGTCGCTCAGTCATGTCCAACTCTTTGCGACCCCATGGACTGCAGCATGCCAGGCTCCTCTGTCCTTCAGTGTTTCCGGTGTTTGCTCAGATTCATGTCCATTGAGTCAGTGATGCCATCCAACCATCTCATCCTCTGTTGTCCCCTTCTATTCCTGCCCTCAATCTTTCCCAGCATCAGGGTTTTTTCAAATGAGTCAGCTCTTCACATCAGGTGGCCAAAGTATTGGAGCTTCAGTGTTAGCATCAGTCCTTCCAATGAATGTTCAGGATTGATGCCCCTTAGGATTGACTGGTTTAAAGCTGAATTGTGGAAGTTCAGATCCACGCAAGTTTCACACACAGCTTGGGAAGGGACCCACAAACAGCCTGATGGTTTGTGTGTGGGGTCCGGCTGCGTCCACACCACCCCGCTGACTGTGAAGACTTGCTGTGTTGGCCCCAGGACACCCCCAGGCCTGATGGACTTGTGGTTTAGGGTTCTCAGAAAAGTCATGAATTCTGCCAGAACTCTTAGAAATGTCAAAAAAGAAAAAAAAAAAGTAACAACACTGCCTAATTTATATATACAACAACTACATTTCCTAAACATTTTTTCATGTAGTAATTTTCACAGCTATCTGGTGAGGTCAGCAACATTCATCTCATTTTACTGATGCAAGTGGCTTCCCAGAGGCAGATAGACAGTGGCCAGCACAAGGCAGCGTGTGGACATTGGGCAGTGTTCGTGCACCGGAGTCCCACGATCACTAAGAGGCTAGAGAAAGAACTTTCCAGATGGGGCCTTGGCCTGCTGTGCCTGGGTCACCCAGACAGCCCACGAACAAGCACCCAAGGAAGACAGTGCTCAGAGGGGCCAGGAGTGCCCACCGGGCCCCAGGGCATCAAGGGAAGGACGTGAGTGCTTCAGGAGGATGGTTAATCCTTATGTAGCCCTGATGGTTGGCAGGTCCACACTTCTCTGCTGCATCAGAGTGGAGGCCAAAGGGAGGGCTGGAGAGAGAACGGAAAAAAAAAAGGAAAAGAAAGAGAGAACGGAATAGCCAGAAGCAAGTGACCTCCCACCTGCTCCACAGCTTCACCTTGATTCCGGACAGACAGCCAAGTCTAGGTTCAGGAAGAAAATTCAAAGGCACTCTTCTCAAAGCTCTCCAGATTACAAAAACATTAACCTTTACAAGCCATTTGGGGTCAGGCTCAGTGCATTTAATTAAAGACATATTGCTTTGCTCAAGGAGAATGTAGGATTTGTAACATGAAACTAAAACACGGGAAAATCAAGTTTCAAAAAAAAAAAGAAATAGCCGCTGCTCTGGTGGCTCAGTGGTAAAGAATCTGCCTGTCAAGGCAGGAGACAGAGGTTCAATCCCTGGTTCAGGAATATCTCACACGCCGTGGAGCAACCAAGACCGCAGTCCCGCAGCTACTGAACCTGAGTTCTACGGCCCGTGCTCCACGGGAAAGTCACCCCAGTGAGAAGCCTGCACATCACAGCCAGAGAAGCCAGCGCGGCAACAAAGACCCCCACAGCCAAAAGTAAATACATAAATATAAACAAACAAACCACACAAAAAGCCCCCAGCAGAAATCAGTAAAGACTTACTCTGTTCTCTGTCCCATAAATGAAAAAAAAAAGAGAGAGAGAGAGTGAGAGAAAAGAGCAACTTTCCCAGTGGTTTAGCTATAAATTTTGTGGTAAATAGGGCAACTATTAAATTAATTCTGTGTGATAGTAAAGTGATTAGCTTTGCAAAAAATCCTCGCCTGCAGTGTCCTCCCCGTTCCAGCCCTCGGTGGCCCAGTTTCCAGCCGTTTCCACCTGATGTCTGGGCACGGCTGGGCGCGCTCCGGCAAAGTTGGCTGGCAGACACGCCTGTGAGTCTCAATTAGGCAGGAATTTTAGGAGCAACAAAAATTATGGGAGGAACGTGGCTTCATCAGTCATTTTCCTGCAGGAACAGTGGCAATTTGAAGAGTTTTAGCACTTTGAAGGTCAAGATTAAAAACCAAGTAATTTATTACCACTGATTTAGAGATTAACATTGTGCCAATTAATCAATTACTCAATGTGACGAATTGACAATTAATTGACATTTCAGTTCCAATCTGGCAAAGCTTTCTGATTTCCTTAGTGAATAATACGAAATCGCTAAATTGAAAGGTTATGAGGATTTCTTCCAAGAGCAAAATGAAAAGGAATTAAAAAAAGGATACATAAGAGTAATCGTTCACAAAATTTTAATATAGGAAATATAGGCCATTGTTTCACCAGTGAGCAAACCGAAATCACTGAGTGAGCGGGTTTAGGCAAAACCAGGGCCTTTTATTGTTGATTCAGGAAGGTTTGCCCTAGGCGTTTTGTTCTTCTGCTTTTGCAAAAACTCCTATTGCCTTGAGCACTGAAGCTTGAAGCTTTGCCGGCCTCAAAGCCCTCAACAGCAGTGCAGTTCACAAACAAAGGGTGTTGTAAGCGGCTGGCTGGGTCGGTTTTAGGTCACCCCTCTGAACAGCCCTCACCATGTTCCCTGCAGTCAGGGCCAGATCCAAGGTCAGGACAACCACACACCAGCTGTCCAGCCAAGACCACACCGCTCCCTCTGGGGCGGAGGGCAACGTGGCCTGTGCTGGCCTGGGAAGTCAGCCGGTCACAGTGAGGGGTCAGACCGGAGGATGGCTCTGAACGCCAGGAGCGAAGAGACACCCGGATGCCCAGCACACAGGCGGGCCCGTCCGAGAAGGTCAGGTGAGGAAGCAGGGGCAGGGACGCGCTTGAAGCTGGAAAAGCCTGCTGTCTTCCAGGCTCCCAGGCCCCTCCTGCCCCTGGCTGCACTTGTCCCCGGGCCTGCCTGGCAGGGACTGGCTGACTTCTTGGGCTCTGAGTGACCTCTTCCCGGAGCCTCTCCCACAGCTTCTCCGTCCGGTGTTCCCAGCGCAGCCCAGACCCGTTTCCCTCTCTCGCAGGAAGACGACTCCCTGAGGGGCATCGTCCTCCGCAACCGAAGGGGAAGCGTGGCTGCCGCTGTGGAAGCAAGCCGGCCGGACAAGCAGCGGCCCAGACCCGAAGCTTAATTAGGTAAAGGGACCTCTGCAGTGAAAACGACGTTCCTGATAGAAACAGCTGGAAAATAAAGTGACGAGAGACCTCTTTTAGTGTGTGCTTCAGTTAAGAGAGACCCTCCCATCCTCACAGCAATTGTCTGAGACCCCAAGTGAAGCCCCAGCTGTCAGGGTCCAACAAGCCATCCCCACCCCCACCCCTCACCCCCCGGGCACTCTGACTTTTTAAGGCTCTTGCCTTTCCTTTGATTCGCTCAGAAAAGCCAGTCAGGTTGCTGGACTGAGGGCTCAGAGAGGGAAGGATGATGCTTGCAGGTTGCAGAATGTGCTTCGTGGTGGGTGGACACAGCCTGGGCATAAGGACACCCACAGCGTGTTGTCTGCGGTCTCCTGCTCTTTCTCTCACTGTCTGCTGGATCCACAGACTGCCCTCAGGCCAGGCAGTTTCCGGTGAAGGCAGAGGTGCGGGGGGCGGGGCCTGTATCCCCCTTAACTCGACGATCAGGACTGGAAACTGAGGCTGAGTCTGGGGTGAAAGATGCTGGGAAAGGAGAGAAGCCCCAGCAGAAGTGATGGTCAAGGACTCAGGAGGTCAGCGGTTGTCAGGCAAGCTCAGGATCAAGAGCAGTCAACACAGGGGGCCATGAGAGTGTTAAGTGTTAGTTGCTAAGTCGTGTCCGACTCTTTGTGCCCCGTGGACTACAGCCCACCAGGATCCTCTGACCACGGGATACTCCAGGCAAGAATACTGGAGTGGGTTGCCATTCCCGTCTCCAGCAGATCTTCCTGACCCAGGGACTAAATCCAGGTGTCCCGCATGTCAGATGGATTCTTTACCGTCTGAGACACCAGAGCCTGTGAGAGTCAAGTTTATAGCAGAGAGGAGGCTGGAACTGGCCTGAGTGGCCCCTGGCAGATACTCATCCATATCCAAGCCTACAGGGTGACCACGGCTCATCCTGCCCAAGTCACCCTGATGAGGTCCTGTATCACCGGGAAGGCAACCAGCTGCAAGTATGAAACCAGTCCGACAGTGGCCCCCATGTCTGGGGACTCGGCCTCACATTGTAAGAAGTCCCAAGGTGGGTGATCCACGTAGGTGCAGCAGCTCAAAAACACTGCCAGAGACTCCATCTCTCTCTGCTCCATCCTGCCTGGTATGTGAGCTTCCAGACTCAGACTTATCACCCAATGGTTTCGAGGTGCAGGCTGCCTTTGTGTCTGCCCTCCTGTCAGGCAGGGAAAAGGGAAGGGAAGAGAAGAAAAGGGAAAGAAAGAGAAGGAAGGAGTGCTTCCTGTGTCTGGTTAGCTGAACTTTCCCAGAAATCGTGCTCATAAATCTCACTGATTACAACTGTGTCACATGGTCACCTGCACTTTCCCAGAAGTCACACCCACACAGCTCCTTACATCTCATTGGTTAGAACTATGTCACATGGCCACATAAACTTTCCCAGCAGCCTCCTCCATACCTCTACTCACATCCCATTGGTCAGAACTGTGTCACATGGCCACCACAGTTTCAAGAGAGGTTTTGGAGCACTAGTGTTTTTGTTGGACACATTTCCCCTCCTCCAAATACAGAGTTCTTTTTAAAAAAATTAATTAATTAATTTGGCTGCATCAGGTCTTGGGTATGGTATTTGGGCCTATCTCTAGTTGTGGTGTGGACTCAGTTGTCCTGAGACAAATGGGATCTCAGTTCCCCGACCAGGGATCGAACCTGTGTCCCTTGCATTGGAAGGTGGATTTTTCACTGCTGGACCACCAGGGAAGTCCTTCAGAGTTCTTTTGTGAGTAAAGACCCGGGCCTTAAGTGGAGGTGTCCGACTGGTATTAAAGAGTCTGGTAAAAACCTGGGGAAGGCAGAAGGTCAGTTGGGTAGAGAAGAGGCACGCACACACAGCATGTGGTATGTCACCACAGGGCCTCTGTTCAGGGTATGAAAGATCTCAGTCATGCCCACCACGGACCGTGACCTGGAAATTATGTCTCCACGGGGACACTTAGCTTCTGGACCAAATTGTTCTTTAAGCAAATTAGAGATGGAGGCCAATTGCATCATTTCTCTTAATTAGCAAACCAATCTCTTTCAGAGGCTGAGAGTCCAAAAATGAAATCCGTCATCCCAAGTTCTCTGTCAGTTCACTCGCCAAGCAAAAAGGGAGAGGTATGGATGTGTTGCACCCTCCCAGCCCACCAGCGAAGACGGAGAGCAGAGGAGAGCATTAGCATTTAAGTGGCCTGTTAATGTCTGGAAGCCTAAACAGTCACAGAACAGCAATAAAGGAGCTCTTCAAATGTTGCTGGAGAATGTCCATAAAGAGGATATAATGAAAAGGACTGCCCAAATGTGCAAGGATAATATAGTTAATGTATTACTTCTTTTATTATTTTATCATCTTTCATTAATTGCTGGCAGCATGCCTGCAGGAGTTGGTTCCATGGAAAGGGCTTTTAGTTAAATGTCTTAAATGAAACGACCACTTAGAACCTGCGAACAAGGTTGAACCAAGGTTCACTTGACTTCAGTAAATCTTGTCTGAAGGGTGCAGGGGAGGGAGGAAAGGGATTCATTCTGGGACAACCTAGCAGTGCTTGTCTTTAGCTGCCCCACAGCTGCTTGGAGCTGACTGTCTCAAATTTGGAAGCACGAAGGTGTGATTTTATTTTTGGAAGAAGGCCTTGTCTACCATCTGCTGCCACTAATCTGCTGTGTGACCCTGAAGAAGTGACTTGCAGTCTCTCAACCTCAATTTCCTCACTCTGCAAAAACTTTCCCTGACTCCAAGTTTATTACCTAGATATTTCAGGGTAACCCGGTCATATATTGGGTTTCTCAGGTGGCACTAGTGGTAAAGAACCTGCCTGCCAACTCAGGAGTCTCAGGAGGTACAGATTTGATCCCTGGGTCAGGAAGATCCCCTGGAGGAGGGCATGGCAACCCTCCTTAGTATTCTTGCCTAGAGAATCCCATGGACAGAGGAGCCTGGTGGACTTCAGTCCATAGGGTCCCAAAGAGTTGGGCACAACAGAAGTGACTTAGCACCAGGTCATATATTAATTAGTGGAGAGGGTGGTGAGGTTGAGGAGAGGAGTGTAACCCAAAATCAAAAGATGGCCCCAGAAAGGGATGCCCGCTGCTCAGGACTGCTCTGGGGCCCCCAGACATGTGAGCGCGCACCCCTCCTTAAAGCCCCAGCTTCCTTCATGGTGCCAGGTGCCCCACCACCTCCCTGCAGACAGCAGAGCGCCGAGGGATGAGGCGTCCCCAGGGCCAAGGTGTTCCTTCCCTATAGGCCTCCTTTTCCTGACCGTCTGGGGGAAAAAGTATGAAAATGCCACCAACTCCTGATTTCAGCAGCTTAGCTCTCCCTTCTTCTTGCGCATCTCAGATACAGCTGCCCCTCACTCAAAGCTAGCATTTCTGAAGCCCGGCCTGAGTGCCTCGCACCACGAGGGCAATCACACAAGCCGTGGCTGCCCAGATGCGGCCTCAGGAGGCGAAGGGAGGGGCAGGGCTGGGCTGCTTCTGGGACTGACTTTCCCAGGCTTGACCTCAGGTCAGCTGACCATTTCCACTCAAGGGTCCCATTTGTACCCCCAAACCACCAGGTCCCAAGCTGAATAAATCAACTTTCTCCTAAACGAACCCTCCTGCAGACATTCCAGCCTCTTTTCGGTGGCTGTGTAGCTTTCCTCTCTAGCCCTTTGTGTGGCCCCAACCTCTGGCCTGTGATTAACCCCAATCCCATCTGGGCGCAAAGCTACCCGACTGTAAGCTAGTATAGACATGGCCAAGTTTTGATGACAATAGGTGCATAACAATTCATGAAATTTAACTGGAATGAATGACTCCCTCCTGGGTTAGACTCTGCCCTTGTACCACTTCCATCCCCTCACACTAAGTCAAGGTCTTGGTAAAAGAGACTGCATCCTTCCCAGTCACTGTTTATCTTTTTGTCTCATTTTATTCCGTTAATAACAGTTTTGCTATCTGAAATCATCTTGTGTATTTATCGACTTGCAGACCACGTGTCTTCCCCAAGTAGAGTATAAATTTCATGACAGCAGAGACCTTGTCTGTCCTGTCCCTCGCTGTATTCGCAGGGCCAAGCATGGGGCCAGGAGGATCACAGGAGCTCGATAAGCACTTGCTGAGTTAATGGACTCATCCCGTGTCCTTTAATATTCCTCCTCAATCCGCACTGCTCACCACTGCCAAGTCCGACTTCCCACTTGTCGCCCGCTGCTTAGACGCTTGCGGTGTCCCCCCACGGCCAGGGGACAGGGGCTCCAGCTCAGCCTTCCTCACCACCCACGTGACCCCTCCGAGCTGACTTTCCACCTAAGCTTCTCACGCACACGGCCAAACCCTCCAGGAAGTACACATGCCTGGCCCAGTCCCACGTGTCCTGTTAGAACTCTTAGTGGCAAGTAATAGAAACCACCTGGAGCTGATTCAGAAGGTGATAGAGTTTCAGTTGTGTCAGATGAAAGGAGTCAGGGCGATGGAAGGGGTGATGGATGCACAGCAATGTGAAGGGACGGACTGTCACTGAACTGTCACTTACAAATGCTTAAGATGGTCAGCTTTATGTTACGCACACTCTGGCCACCTGATGCAAAGAATCGACCCATTGGAGAAGACCCTGATGCTGGAGAAGATTGAGGGCAGGAGGAGAAGGGGACGACAGGGGACGAGATGGTTGGATGGGATCTCTGACTCAACGGACGTGAGTCTGAACAAACTCCAGTACTGAAGGACGGGGAGGCCTGGCGTGCTGAGGTCCAGGAGGTCACAAAGAGCTGGATGTGATTTAGCAACTGAGCAACAGCAGTCTAAAAACAAAGCAGGGTAGGATTCAACATGATGATGATAAGGTTGTAGTGGTGCCTGAGTTAACTGCGGAGAGAGAAGCCTGTCCTGGCAGGAATGAAACACCTGGGCCTCCACACACCCCACTTCTGCTCCCTTCTCCGGGTTGGCTTCGGTCACTCAGTTCCCGTAACAGCACCGAGACAGCCCAGGCTCAAGGCTCAACCTGTGAGCACTGACAGCTGCTGAGTCTCGATCCCCTGTCTCTGGAGCAGAGAACCTGCATGGCCCAGGCTGGGTGAAGGTTCAGCTGCCCCGAAGTCAGCGGTGGTACACAGAGGTAGCTCCGGGGTCCTCCTCTAGGACCTTGCTTTTAGAGAGATGGCCGTTCTCCACGAGTGGAAATCATTACAAAAAGGGAGAACACCCCACAGGGGCTCATGCCTCACCTTAGATTTAACTCAGGGAAGATTTTCTGGAGGAAGCAGAATTTAATCTAAAATCTTAAAAATAAAAAGGCATGATTTGAGCAGAAACAGAACAGAGAGGAATTCTATCCTGGGACTGGTGTGCAGAAGCCTTGAGATGGTGAATCAGTGAGTTTGACCGCAAAGGATAGAAAGTCCAGAATAATGGTGCCCTCTACCTCTTGATTCAAGAGGATGCTTGAGTTCCAGCCATCGTGTCTATATTCCAGGAAGAAGGATGAGGCAAGGGTCCCTTCTCTTGCATTAAGCGTCCACTCCAGACACCTCTTCTGCTTACAAAGCACTGACTAGAACCTAGTCACACAACCACTAGATGTAGGGAAGGCTGAAAAAGGCCATCTTTATTCTGGGTGGATATATGTTAATAGGGAGCTAAGAGTCAGGGATTCTATTGTCAGAGAAGAGACACAGATCCTGGGGGCAGTCTAGCGGCCTCCACTGAAGATGGGCTAGAGCATCACTCTTTCCAGGAGACGGGAAAGCATGGCACGAGGAATATAAAGATTGAGGAGGGGAGTCTGATTGACTTCAGAAGGTTGTCCACAGCTTTTAGTTCCTGCTTATTTATCACTGTCCATGTGTGTCCTTGCATGCTCAGTTGTGTCCAAGTCTCTGCGACCACATGACTGTGGCCCTCCAGGTTTCTCTGTCCATGGGATTCTCCAGGCAAGAATACTGGAGTGGGTTGCATTCCCTCCTCCAGGGAATCTTCCCGACCCAAGGATTGAACCTTCATCTCCTGCATCTCCTGCATTGGTGGCGGATTCTATACCACTGCGCCACCTTGGAAACCCCTCTTTGTCCATGGGTCCAGCCTATTTTTTAAAACTTACTTATTTATTTGGCTGTGCTGAGTCTTAGTTTCAGCATATGGGATCCAGCTCCCTGATCGGGGATCGAACCCAGGACCCCTGCATTGGGAGCTCAGAGTCTCAGCCACTGGACCACCAGGGAAGTCCCAGGCCCAGCCTATCTTTTGAAAACCCTTAATTTATCAATAATTGTTGAGTCACAGGAAGTTTCAAAGAAATGTCCAGGAAGGTCCCATGCACCCTTCACTGTCATCCCCCACCCCCTATGAGCATCATCTGTCACTGTGGTACACTGTCAAAGCCAGAAACAAAAACTCATGTGTGTGTCTCTTCTGTGTGATTTATCACATGTGTAGCGTCAAGCAGTCACCACAATCAAGCTACTGAACTGAATCATCACCACAGACCCCTTTATCTTCTCCCCCTTGTCCCTAACTCCCGGCAACAACTAATCTGATAATTGCATTATCTTACTCAAGCCGCATGCCTCCTTACAGGCAGAATAATTTCCTTGAGGCTCATCCAAGTTGTTGTGTGTATTAGTGCTGGTTCCAATTTGTGGCTGAATCCCGTGGCCTAGGATGGCTATGCCTGTCGGTTTAGCCATTCACCTTCTGAAGGGCACGCAGGAAATTTCCAGTTTGGGGCTAATGCAAATAAAGTTGCTATGAATATTTGTGTACAGGTTTCTATGTGAAAATAGATTTTCATTTCTCTGGAATATATGGATTATTGCTGGGTTGCAGGAGAAGTCCATTTCTAATTTTTAAAGAAATCACCAAACTATGTTCACAGTGGCTGGACCATTGTGCATCCCCATCAGAAACATACAAATGACCTAGTTTCTCTGCATCTCTGGCAGCATTTGGTTTTATCACAACTCTTAATTTTGACGGATGTGTAGTGACATCTTGTGTGGTTTCCATTTCCATGTCTCTGATGACCAACTTTTCATGTACTTGTTCGCTGCCTCTACGTCAAATATCACCATGAAACATGCATGTCCCCTTCCTTCAGGAGACTGACGATTTCTTCTTTGGAATGACTGAATGAAAGTGGCTTCTTATATAAGGACGTGGGTGCAGGCAGACGGGGGAGGGGGTGGGCTCTGGTGGAGCTCCCACGCTGGCTCCAGGCGGGAGGTGGCCACGTCTTGTCTACGGTCAGGTACCCAGGGGTTCACCAAACTAGAGGCCAGTTTGCCACCTGACCACCCCCGAGTGAGCACACAGCTGAAACCCCCCGCCTAGCTGCAGAAGTGGTTGTCTATGCTGGGTACCAAATCACCCCAAAGTGTAGTGCCTTAAAACAATGGCAATCATTTGCACACAAGCCCAGTTTGGCAGAACTCGGTGTGGACAGCTCGTTTCTCCTCCATACGATGGGCTGGCGTGACTGGGGCTGGAGGATCAGCTTCTAGAATGGCACAGCCCCAGGGCTGTCAGCGGGGGGGCTCAGACCAGGCTGCTGATCCTCTCCACGTGGGCCTCTCCGAGCGCTGCTTGCGCTTCCCCACAACATGGCAGCTGAACTGCATCGGCAAGAACTCCAAGAGGCTGGGGCAGCAAACACAAGGCTGTTTATGATCTGACCTTAGAACTCTCAGGATGTAACTCAACGGGAGGAATAGAAGGAATTTATGGCTATATTTAAGACACATGCCCAGAGCTCTGAACAGTTTTTCAATGACTTATCAAATGTGAGCTGATAGGCACATATTAGAAGACATTTGGAGAAAGCCTCCAATATGAAGGCAAAGATAAAGAAAAGTAAAAGAAACTATAAAAAGCACAGATAATACAGGAAAATAAGAAAACAAAACAACAACAAAAAACCCACCAAACCTACTATAGTTAATATCTGCAGAGAAATAAGAGAAGATATCTGATTCATGCAGCAATAGAACAGAATGTTATTTTAACAGGGGAACAACTTATAAGTAAGAAAGTTCTCTCATACTGAAAGTATAAGAAATATTTAAAAATTTAGAAAGTTTGGTAAAGGAAGTTGAAGAAATCTCCCAGAAAAAAAAAAATACAAGAAGACAAAGAGATGGAGTAGCATAAAAAATAAGGAAACTTGAGGATCAACCCCCAAAAGTCACACATTCCACTAACAGGAATTCCAGAAAAGGAGAGGAGATACAACAAAAAAGAGGAAATTAAGAAAAAAGTAATGCCAGCACTTTCCCCAGAACTGAAGGACATGGACCTCTAGATTGGGTTTGATAAGCATATAGCCCATTATCTTTTTTTTTTTTAGCCCATTGTCTTTCAAAGAAAACTTTTAACGGAAGTACGTTTGAGATACTGTTGGACTATAAAGATGGCTGAGTGCCGAAGAATTGATGCTTTTGAATTGTGGTGCTGGAGAAGACTCTTGAGAGTCCCTTGGACAGCAAGGAGATCATACCAATCAATCCTAAAGGAAATCAACCCTGAATATTCATTGGAAGGACTGATGATGAAGCTGAAGCGCCAATATTTTGGCCACCTGATGCGAAGAGCTGATTCATTGGAAAAGACCCTGATGCTGGGAAAGACTCAGGGCAGGAGGAGAAGGGGATGACAGAGGATAAGAGGGTTGGATGGTGTCACTGACTCAATAGATATAAATTTGAGCAAACTCGCTGAGATAGTGGAGAGCAAAGGAGCCTGGCCTGCTGCAGTCCATGGGGTCGTGAAGAGTCAGACACGATTTAGTGACTGAACAACAATAATCTATATTGTTATCTACAGCAACAGTTTGATTTTCATTACCATCAAGTGTTTCATTGAATGAATATACCACCAATTATTTATCCACTCTGTTGTTGATGAATTTGGGTTATTTCCAGTTGGGGGTTATAACAAATTTTGTTGCTATGAACATTGCTGTTTGCGTCTTTTGGTTGACTGGGTTTGCATTTTGGGTTCATAGGGAGATGTAGAATTAGTGGGTCATAGGTTGTGTGATTGGCTGTATAGATACTGTTGAACAGTTTCCCAGAGTGGTTGAACCAACTTATGTTGCCACCAACAGTACAGGAGAGTTCCAGCCATCTCTGCAACCTTTTTGACAGCTGATAGTGTCTTTTTCACCCGCTCCCATCAGGTCATCATGATAAGTTGTGACAGGATGTTCAGTAAGGGACAGCATGTTGTCAGATCTTCCAGTCTTGTGCTGGGGAGAATCTGAGTAAGAAGGTGGCTCAAGAGAGGCCAGCGGAGCAGCCAAGCCCTGCAGGACTCACGGCCCTGACTGGGGCCAGGCTTCATCCCGCACACGTGTTGTCCAAAACGCCATTTTGGCTTCACTGTGGAACACGGGTTCAAGGAAGGCAACATAAATGCAGAAGGAGCTGCGAGCTATTGCAGAATTGAGGCCGGTACTGATGAAGCTTCGGACGAGGATGAGAGGGCTGGAAAGAAGTCGATTCAGGAGCGGTTCAGGTGGGAGACTCTAGCTGTCCTGGTGGCGGGTCCGCAGTGTCAGCGGAGGGCAGGGAGGACCACGGGGACCCCAAGTGCTTGGCTCAGCCCCCGGGACTGACGCTGCAGATGTGGGGCAAGGAGGAGAGTCTGGTCCTGGGCGTGCTGAATCTGAATTGCCCGTGAGACACCTGAGTGAAGACCTGATACAGGTGCGGACTGTTTCGGCCTGGGGCTCTAAACAGAGGCGGTGGGCAAAGACGTCGATCGGGAGTCAGAATCGCGAAATGAGGTCAAGAGCACAGGAAGAGCGCCTGCAGTGAGAAGAGGTGCAGGCCTGAACCTTGAGAAAATGCAACACTTCCCAGATGCAGGAAGCTCGGCCAGGTGCTGTGGGGTGGATGCGGGGACTAGGGAGGGCGTGGTCCTGCAACTGCTTGGGTGGAAAGCCCTGCAGCTTGGGACCAGTCTCCGAGGGTGTTCTTGTCGGCGGGGGATTTGAACTTGCAAGGGAGTTGGAGCAGGAACAGTCAGACAGGACAGAGGAGGAGGCCACTGGTAAATCTTTCTTAAAAAAAAAAATGAAGGTCTGAGGCTAGATAACTTTTTCCGTGGCCAGATGACTTCCCTCTAAGCCCCTCCCACCAACCACAGTCTGCCCGAGGCCCCCTCGGGGGGACAGAGGTGAGGATGGGATGCTTGCTCCAGACTGAATGTTGTGGACATCATGGACGTCCCAAGGTCAAGTTCATCCAGGGCACGAACCGCAGGCCCGCGGGAGGGGGTTTCTCCAGACAAGTGCCCCCAAGTTTGGGCTGCAGACTGAGGAAGGGGAGGGTCTCGCCCTGAGACATGAGGAGCTACTGGGGGGCGTCTCCAGGAGGCCCAGGACCCGAGACACCCAGAGGGAGAGTGTCCTGATGGCGTCGGGGGCCAGCGAGGGGCAGGGGCTGCCCCAGTGGCCAGTGAGCTCCCCTCTGGGGGAGGCGTCCTGACCCCAGAATAAATGCCCACATGACCCCACATCCTCTTTGCCCACATCGGCGCCGCCAGCTATGTCCTTCGCAGCACGTCCTTCACAGAAGGCATGAGGCAGCACTGCCCACTGGAGAGGCCCCCTCGGACTTGAGAGGAAGAGACTGCGGCTGGAAGAGCCCAGACCCGGGCTCAAGGTGAAGCACCTACTCTTTCCCGGGCCTGCCCACTCCTGACCCAGAAGCCGCAGCTGTGACATTTCCGAAGGGGCCAGCCGCTGGAGCCGAAACTGGGGCAGGCGCATTTGTGTGCGTGGTGTTGATTGCCAGCGGTTCATCACCAAGGGTAAGTGGAAGAAATCATTCCTGTTCATTTGCAAATGGAAATCAGACGAGGGCTGTGCTGAAATGCATCAGCGTTTTCCCTTCCAAATGAAAGGATTTCAGAAAGACAGCTGACCTTGGGGCTCTGAGTGTCTTGTGTCTTTTCCAGACGTTCCCGGCCCGCCAGGCCCACGGGTCCCCAGCAGACCTACTTAGTTGAGAAAGTAGGAGCATCTCTGATGCCATGAAGTCACAGGCACACAAACAGCCAGGCTCCCTCTTTTATTACCTTGCAAAGCCCCGGAGACACTTTCACCTCACTTAAGGAGCCCCAGCAAATTATGCTGAAATCCTTCCAAGGGTTGAAATGATATGTTTATAAATCCTCCTTGCTGAACTGTTGGCCCCAAGAAATCTTACAATAATAAAGACGTATGTGTTGGGAGCAGGAGGGGGATTCTTTCCTCTCTATCCACCCCCCCCCCCCAACCAAATGTGCAGCTTTTTCTGCCTAGGGGCGGTGTGTTGATACTGCATTTTCATCCGGCATTATCACCCTCCAAGGCACATGATGTAGCCCCCTGATCAGACATGTAATGAATGTCTCTCCAGGCTGGTGGATTCATTACTGTGATTTATAGCTGTTTTAATGTACACAAGCTTCTTAAACAACTTAGAGTTGATTGTTCTGGAACTAGACCTGGGTCCCCGGGAACTCTTGGAGCTGAGCCACAGTTCAGGGAGTTATTGGTGTCCCTGGGCAGGTAAACAACCTTGGATCAAAGGTGCTAGGTTACCTGCAAACAGTGTCGATTGGAACAGGAAACGCCTTATAATGGGGAGTGGGGGCAGTCTAATAAACCTCCTGAGCCTGGGCCAGCCCGCCCGGGCATGGCTGCACTTTGTCTGTAGCATGAAGGAAGGACAGGCTGGGGCCCAGGAGGGTGAGTGCTGTCACTGGCATGCCTAGGCTGGCTGGGCACCTTCACGGAACTTCCCCAGAAGGCCTGCACGGGGACAGGCAAAGAGGCTGACACATGCTGGCGGAGAGAAACAATCCTGGTTACTCAGTGCACAGAGATCCCTCTTTTTTAAAATACATTTTAACTTAGTCATCTCAAGAATGGCTCTAACCCTGTCCAGAACATCAACCTAAACCAAGCGCCTGCTGGAACATTCTAAAACTGGGGGGGCTGTGGGACTTCCCTGGTGGTACAATAGATAAGAACCCGCCTGCTGATGTGGGGAACACGGGTTCCGTCCCTGGTTCTGGAGTATCCCATGTTTGTCGGGGCAACTAAGCCCACATGCCACGACTCCTGAGCCCACGAGCCCTAAAGCCCGCGCTCTGCATCAGGAGAAGACACCGCCCTAGTGAGAAGCCTGTGCAACACAGCTGGAGGACAGCCCCTGCTCGCCTCAACCGGAGAAAGCGCGCCTGCAGCAAGGAAGACCCAGCGCAGCCAAAAATAAATACATAAATAAATTAAAAAAAAAAAGAATGGGGGCTTGTACTCAGAGGGGAGGGAGGGGAACCCTGTAGCGACTGCGATCAGGAATGGGGTGTGGAAAGCTTCAGCTGGACTGGGAGAGCTTAGGGAAAGAAAGAAGGCTCCAGAAGGAGGGGGCGGGCCAGGGGAGAGGGTGCTTTGCAGACAGAGGGCGGGCAGCATTCTGGAAGTTACTGCCTAGAATGAGGGCTCTCCTGGGCCAGGGGGAGGCAGTGGTGGTGAAGGTGCCCAGGAGAGACTGCCCACCTGTGCCCAGGTGAGAACCCTTGAAAGCAGGCGATGCCCACAGAGTTTCAGGGACACGTCCCTGGTGCAGAAGGCGCTTTCGTTCCACCCACTGGAGGACTGCCTGGCGAAAGTCAGTTAGTCCATCAGCACCCTTGGTGTCCCGGAAGCAAACGTGACTTGGCTCATCTCTGTGGACCCGAGTTGTTTGACTAAGAGGGTTGGGTTTAGAGAAAAAAATCACCGTCTGAGGCTCAATGACTTATTTCATGGCCGGATGACTCTCCTCTCTAACCCCTGCGTACCCCAGCTAGGGTGAGGGGTGACTGCTCCATGCAGCCGGACACCCCTTGCTAAATCTGACGTGGCAGAAGTCCTGGGCTGGGCCGACCCCCTCTGGACCTCCGGGTGGAAGATCCAGAGGAGCCGTGAGGATGCCTGCCCAGAGGGCAGGGCCCCCTCCCCCAGAGGGGGAGAGTGGGGCTGAGGTGGGCAAGGGGCCGGCCACAGTCACCGGGGCAGAGCTGAGCCCGGGACACTTCCAGTTTCCTGTGTTCTCCCAGCTCCATCCTGCTCCCACTTCCATGGGAACACCGCCCAAAATTCACAGTGAGAGGCATGAGCCTCCCCCGCCCACCTCTCCTACACCCCCACCTAAGGGCCACTGACCTCTGTCCCGCAGAAGAGGAGACCCCAAGTCCCGGGTGGGCCCCTTTCCATCTGGGAGTAGGAACCACTGCTATTCAGTCATCAGCACAGCTGTGTGTACAGCGGGTGACGGGTATTAATCAGCCAGACGGGGTGACAGTGTGCCCCACCGGCCGGCAACTTCAAGCCCAGCCGAGGCGGAGAGGACGCCCACAGGGAGGACAGCAGTGGGCACGAGCCCACGAAGACCTCTCTCCGGTTGCACCACTTCTGTAGGCTCCACTTTTCCAACCCTGGGCTAGTCTGAGTGTGGGCTCACCCGATGTTAGTGATGCCTCCGCGTCTGAGAGATGAGACGGAAGTGGGACCTAGCTCCTGCTTTGAGAAGCTCCCAATTTCATAAGATATCATGTGCTTCATCAGCTGGATTACATTCTCCCCGCCCCGATTCACACATTGGAGTCCTAACCCCGAACCTCAGAAGGGGCCTCACTTGCAAATCAGGTCTTTGCCGATGTGAGCAAGTTAAGATGAGGTCATTAGGGTGGGTCCTGATCCCACAGGACTGTCCTCCACAAGGAGGGGATCTGGACACAGAGACAGATGCTCACCCAGAAGACCCCATGTGAAGATGGAGGCAAGCCTGGGGGTGATGCTCCTGCAAGCCCAGGGACACCGAGGACAGCAGAGGCCACTGGAACTGGGGGAAGGCCTGGGACCGAGGTGCTCTCATGGCCCCAGCAGGACCCCACCCTGCCCACACCTTGGTCTTGGGCCTCCAGCCTCCAGGACGCTGATATAATACATTTCCACTGCAAAGGATATGAATTTGAGCAAACTCTGGGAGACAGTAAGGTCAGGGGAGCCTGGTGTGCTGTGGTCCATGGGGTTGCAAAGAGTCGGACACGACTGGGCGGCTGAGCAACAAGAAAGCCGCCCTAGTGGCACTTTGCTCCAGCAGCCCCAGGACTCTAATAACACCATGTGTGTAGTGAGTTACCTCCTACAGGGACCCATGACCCCATGAGTCATGGGGAAGGCGGGATCCACACACACAAGTCACACAGATCATTTTTTACCCGAGCAACCAATTTAATTAAAGGGAGGAGAAAAAACAATTTAGTTGAACAGCTGGTTTCAGTGATATTTTTTTCTGGCTTTCACCAGCAGTTTGCCTGAATTTATATGGTCTTTCCATGGGGGAGCATTCCAGCCCCTTGACCCTAGGATGTGGTCTCTGGCACTGTGCTGGAGCCCTGGTCTCAGGCCTGGCCTTGACCCCTGGATGCCTGGGAAAGCACCGGACTG